TATATATGTGTGTGTGTGTGTGTGTGTGTGTGTGTGTGTGTGTGTGTGTGTATAGACTAATAATAGTATGTTATGCATCGATAGCAGCAACAGCTTTTCCAGGTTCTGAAGTCATCTGAACAAAATTATAGACATTCAGCACATTCCATTAAAAAAAAAAACAGAAAATAATATCCAGACAACAGCAAAGTTCTCTTGCTGTTGTGGTACCTGGCACCATTTTTTCTATTAGCCTCTTAATCATCATCTGGAAAGAGAACATTCTAGAGTAATATCATTAAATGTAGCTCTGATAAAGCACGGTCCCTACTATGTATCATAAAGCAGGTACTAGATATTTTCCATTCATAGAAGTATGATACAGTACTGTCCTACATCACTAATAATAGATTCAGTTTTGGTTTGAAATTTACTTTGTCTGCAAATAAGATTGCTACCCCTGTTTTTTTCTGGGCTCCTGACGCATGGAGAATTGTTTTCTATCTTTTCACTTTCAGTCTATGGGCTTCTTTTTGCACTAGGTGTGTTTCTTGTCACCAATCAAGAGAAATAGACTGGCAAAATGGAATAAGAAGCAAAATCCAATATATGTTGTATACACGAAACACACCTAGAGGCTGTACTCTTAAGTGAAATAAATAGGACACACATGTAAATACCGAATAGTTTCTCTGATGTGAGAAACTGAAACTATAAATAAGGATCAAAATATATAATAGATCATGTGATATAGGAAGAAAATGTCCAAAAGGGAAGAGAAGTAGGGAGAGGTAGGGGAAAGGAAAGAAGGGAAAGAAATAAATAGGAGAAAAGGAAGAAATGGATACAAAATCTTTGTAAATAGTGGAGGGTTGAAGGGAGGGCAGAGGAATGGGGGAAATATGAGAACCAAGATATATCATGTAAAAGTACAAATTCCCAATGATGAATGTCATCATATTTTAAACCTAAAATGTACTGATAACATTAATGAATAAAATAATAACCATGTTGTCAAGAATAATGGCTAGATAAAATGTTGTATGTAATGAAGTCAGGAGTATATGGGATAGTGGAATTGTTTCGCTCAGAAGAGGTGTGCTCAGAAAAAGTATCAAGGGCTTTTTATTTCTTACATTGAGAAAAGGAATTCAATGTTCTCATTGCATTATTCCTTATCCCTTTTGCATGTATGTCTTGAGATCTTATACATTTTTAAAGGAAGATCAGAATACTCTGATTGCACATAATAATCAAATGCCACATGTGAAGACTTTCTCTGGATAAATCAATTTACTCATTTGTTTCCTCATCCATTCATGAGGAGATTGGAACAGATGGCCTCTGAGATGTGTTCCAGGCTTAGTTTTTCAGTCAGTAATTCTACTGTTTTTTGTACTTCTTCACACACACACACCCAAAAATTGCAGGAGAAGAAACAGAGTTGTCTCTTGGGGTTGTACAGAGTGTGCTTGTGCAAGGCTGAAATCCAGCTCCCACCCAGGCATCAAGCCTTTCACCGAAGATAAGGGCATCTATCCGAGGAATTTTGCCTTTATTGAATTTACACAAAAGATCTGTGTGGATTTACATGCTTGAGAGGGAAAGTGCTTTGTATCTAATGCATGCCCCAGCTGAGAATACATGGCAGAAGCTACCTGACCGGATTCTGAATGAATCCCAGAAGGAAATCTGATACTCAATCTAGCTCTTTAGGATTAAAAAATGAATGGCTGGGCTATTTGAGCTAGAATTTCATAAGGGCATGGAACTGGAATATAACTAATGTCAGAAAAATTAATTGTGCCCTTTCTGTGAACTCTGACCATCTCCTGATTCTAGACATGACCTAATGGGCTTGACTTCTTTTCCGTGTTAGGAAAGTGATGGACACTAGAGCACTAGAGCCAGGGAAGACCCCGGGAGATCAATGGTGCTGTGCTAATTTTTTTAAATAAAATATCAGCAAAGGACCAAAATATGAATTAAATTTATTGATATTACCTACTACCACCATCACTGGATGGGTACCACTGTGTTCCAGATGCTACTACTAGACATTTTTCAGAGAATCAAAAATGGTAAGTAATTTCCCCAAAGTAACATAGGTAATCTTAAAGTACACAGCCAAGATTTGAACCCAAATTTGTTTTAAGAACCCGAACCCAACCCCTTTGCTGTGAGGAGTTCTCAATCTTCCAGGCTTCAGAGTAGTTAACATCCATGAAAGTTTCTTTGTAATATTAAGAGTTTGTTATTATTGCATAATTCTAGTGCTCTCATTTGGAAGTGGTTTGTCTCCCAAGGGTTTTTGTACTTGAGGGACAGTCGCAGTTCTGTGACATTAGGAGTGACAGAGCATTTAGGTACCCAGGGGGAGGTTAGGTCCCTGGAGGCCCTGCCATCAAAGAAGATTAATGCTAGTTGGCAGGGTGAGTTAGTTCTTGAGAGAGGGCTGTTATAGAGCAAGGCCAGCCCACACACAGCCTAGTCTGCACATGGCAGATCCTCTTTTCCCTTATCTGCCACATTGTAACACATCCAAGGGGACTCTTGGATGAGGAGAAGCCAAACAGATGGAGACCCCCAACAGTGGACTTTCAGCTTCCAGAACTGTGAGCTAAATAAAGATCTTTACCCAGCCTGAAATATATTGTTAGAGCAACAAAAAGTGAACGAATATACTTACCAGCGTTACTTGGCTACAGTGATTATTACTGCTTAATAATTAGTGTGAAGTATTACTTGCATCTGGGTTTTCTCAGTCCTTTCCCCAGAGATCTCACACCTAAAAAGTAACTACACTAACAGCTGGAAAAAGAAGTGCTCCTACCTTTTGTTCTTCGACATTTATTCTGGAGTTTTCTGTATCTTTTTCAAGGTGAAGCACCTGGTGGGGAGAAAATAGTGTCTCTGTGATTAGAGCATTTAAAACATTATGGAATTAATCAGGGGAAAGTATACTCCTGTTAAAGGAATCTCTGTAATACACAGGTAACATTATCTTCTTGCAAAATCAGGAAAAGATCTGGGTTGCTCAATGGTCTCCTCAGAGAAGCCTCAATCCATAGATGTATTCACCTTTGATGCATTATTTATAGTTGGTGAGGATTATGTCATCTCTCAGAGGAGTTTTTGCTTTTCATGCTCTCTAATTATGAGAATAATGGCTTTGGACAAGGCTGCTCACTCCAAAGGAATTTCACCCACTCAAAGAAATTATAAGCATCAAAGAGCAAATGGCATAATTTTATTTGAAGAATAAAGAGGGTTTCCCTGAAAGACTTGAAATTGCTTCACATCTTCATAGGCTCTATTTTCTGGACTGCAAGTTAAGGTGAACATATTTTCAATGTAATGAAAAGGACTGGCTCCCAGAAAACAGTCTATGTATGGGCAGCAAAGAAGCTGCTTACCTTCTGGGAGGTGGTGGCTCCTTGGGTCCCCAGGAAGACCATACCAATGGCAGTTGACATACCAACAGGAGAAAACAAGATGTTGCCATCATGTATTCTCTTCAATTCTTTGAAAAGATTAAACCCAAAGTGGGTGTTTGCTGCCCTGAGTAAATCCATGATGTTTTTAGTGAGATCTAAAATAGTGACAAAAACAATCAACATTGAACACTGGATTGTATGGTTCTGTGTCACAGGAACTCTTCCTGCATTGATCCAGAAAATGGGATTCCACTTCCCAATCAAAAGTCACACATATAAATACTGAATAGCTTCTCTGGTGGGGAAAAACTGAAAGTGTAAATAAGGATCAAAATGTATAATTGATACTTTGTAATAGGAAAAAGGTCAAAAAGTATGGGGAAGTGGGAGGAGTAGGGGAAAGGTGAGAAGGAAAAAGAAAAATAAGAGAAAAGGAAAAAAATGGGAACAAAGTCTTTGTAAATAGGAAGAGTGGAAGGGGTGAAGGGAGGGCAGGAGAATGGGGAAAAAATAAGAACCAAGATCTGTCATGAAAAGGTACAAGATCCCAATGATGACTGTAACTGTACTGTATACTTAAAATGTACCAATAAAGAAAAAAACCATTGCTGCCTGCTTTTCACTCATTTTTTTGCCTTCTCTTGATAGGAGGCAGCAGTTAGCTAGTGTCTGGCATCTTCCAATAGTTCTTTGTTCTTGTTTCCCCAGGGAGTGGAATTAACATCATAATGGTTCTGTCCTCTCTTATTCTTCGTCTGAACCTTCCTGCCTTTGCTTTCCTCTGGCTATTCTTCATGTTAAGCCTCCTCAGGCCAACCTAGCCTTTGTCCTGCTGATGTCCAGCTTGTCTGGCTGCTCAGCCTGTCACAAGGCAGGGCTCCAAAGACAGAGGAATCCCACAGGGCTCCAGCCTGAACAATGTTCAAATCCAGCCTTAACAATAATAAATCCAACAGTTGTATCCTTATCTGAGGCTATTTCTAGATTCACTCAAAATCCAGTTTAAACAGTAGCCAAATAACTATTTCTCTTAAATTCTAATCCATAACCTCATAATAATTTGATGCTGAGCTAAAGACAATCAAATACTTCTAGTCATGGATAATTACATAAGGTAGAATGGTTTTCCTGTGCTTTTCTATATTGTTTCAGGTTTGTTCTATGTGCTAATGTTACTTTTGTTATCTCAGAAGGAATAATTTTAAAAGAACAATTAATACCTGCAAAAATGAACATGTAGACCGTAAACATGTTTTCTGTTTTCTTCATCAGAACTACATTGTAACTATACCATGGAGGCTATAAAAAGAATCCCAAAACAATAATATAATTAATGCAAAATACAATTTTTGTAGATCCACATATTGTGGGTAATTTTGCTGTCCTGGGCTAATCCCTGCTAAGGCATCCTACATCTGCATCCTATAGCTGCTGTTATAGCTTCAATTTCAACCTTGGCTTCCCTACAGGGAAGCTTACAGGTTCACTCAAAAATAAAATGAATGAAATAAAACCACCTCAAGGAAAGTCAGTGCACAATAAAAGTACTTCTTTCAAATCAATAAACATCTGTATTTTCAAAACACAGGAGTCTTAAATTGTAGCTGAAGGAAGAACGTACCTGGCTCTTGATGAGTGGGAGGCAGCTGTGTGAGGAACTAGCAAGCCTATGTAAAATGAGTAGCTGACGTCCTTAATTTATAGCTCTCTGTCTGTGCCTCTCCCTTCTCATTACAATTTGCATTTCCAGTGAAACAGCATTGGGTTTCTCAATGATAATTTCCTAATAAAAACATTTATGGCAAAACTGAGGATTTAGTTCATTATATTTTCATTAGTAACCAAGGAGTCATGCACTTGAAGTTGTCAGCAATTGTATTTCAAGTGTAGCTCAAATAGTACACATGTTAAACATTTAGGAAGCAAGTTTAAATTCTAATTTCTCCAAAATCCCTTAGAAAGTCTCTTCATTAAAAGGTCTAAATTAACCAGAGAAAAACACAGGACTGAAAGCAGTAGCTTAAAACAGGACTAAAGTGTAGGATTAGAATGACCAAGACAAATGAACTATGACTCAAGGGGGAAGACAGGATTAAGAAACCTTCATCTCTAATGATGTCAGGAATCTTCTGGAAATGCCTGTTTAGAGTAGCAGTTTTGCACCCTAGATACCCATTAAAATCTACTGAGAAATATTAAAAAATATGTGTGCCCAAGACTAACCCTACACCAATTGAATCAGCATCTCCAGGATGAAACCAGGAGTCAGACTTTTTATCACCCCTGGTAATTAGGATGTGCATCCAATTTGGAAACCATTAGTTTTTATAGCCTGCCTTTAATCATCCACAGATATGAATTAAATGCATTCTTTACTTACCACAGGTATATGTAGTTATGTCCTTACAGGTCATTGTCTTTACTAAGACTTGTTTTGCAGTTGCATTATTTTGGAATGCCAAACGCAAAGATGGAAATGAAAGAAAATTGCCTTGCTAGAAAAGTACCAGAAAAAAGAGTAAGAAGAGTTTGGGCAGGCAGCTTTATACAAACATGCATGCACGTGTACACACACAAACCAACACACACACTCAAAGCCACTCTGTTCTCAATTATTCTGTCCATTAAGAAATTTCTCATTTAATTCATGCAATAAATATTTATTAAGTCTCCTATGAGTCCTAAGCACCAACAATTTATAAACGCACAACAACCTCTCTTCCTCCAGGAAAATATTACCAAAGCTAGGTGGAAACCTAACAGGAAATTATACTTCCAGAGTCCAGTTTTTCCTGCCAGCCCTGGAACATTTCTACTGGACTTACTAGTTAGTTAAAAGTGTGAATGAGGACTAATATGTATAATAGATAATGTGAAATAGGAAGAAAAGGTCCAAAGGGAAAGGGGAAAGGAAAGCGGGGGATACGGGAAAGGAAAGAAGGGACAGAAAAATATGAGAAAAGGAAGAAAAAACAGAAACAAAGTCTTTGTAAATAGGGAGGGGGTGGAAGGATTGAAGGGAGGGAAGGGGCATGCGGAAAAAATAAGAACCCAGATGTCATGTACAGATACAAATTCCCAATAACAAATGTCATCATATTTATACCTAAAATGTACCAAATAAACTTAATTATTTTAATAAATTTTTTAAAGAGTGCCTACATTAGTCTCAACATTCGTGTTTATAAAGTATGTAAAGCTCTGTCGTTCTTAAGCAACAGCTCTTTGAAGGGCATGTTCTTTTTCCCTTCCCTTGAAGAAAATCATCAAAGACAGCATAGGTACCTGTCTCAATATTCACAATTTGCTTTTCTAAAAAATGTTTTGATTACAGCTCTTTAAGAAATTCAAGGCAATATTTAGTTGGCTTTGTTTTTTATGTCACTGATAAATATGAAAACTGAATACAGTTTAGAAAAAATTAGTTCTTAGTTATAGAGTTAACCATAAATGGCATTGAAACGCCTTTAAGAGTGGCATAAAATCCCTGAGTTCATTATAATACTCCATTTTTTATTATACCTCTCAGTCTATGTCTTCTTAGTTCTTTCCCTGTGGCCCATAGACATTCTATCTCAGTGTATAGTTTTTTTCACATGCCCTCTGCTTTTTTCTGAATCCTTTCCTCCACCATTTGTTTTCACAGGCAAAACTGATTTTCCCTGAGGATTTCAACATTCCACAGACTTCTCTAGAAACAGCTACTCATGTTTTGGAATCAAAAAGCAAGTTTCTCATCCCTATTCTCCACCCTACACTTGCTTCTTTCAAGCCATTCTTCCTCCACCCTTCTTTTAGTCTTCTTCAATTACCTCCAATATTCCCCTTTGGAGATTAGAGGAACTACCCTTTCCCAAACCACTCTGATACGTCCCTTCCCGACCATCCGCCCTAACTGCTGCCACTACTCTGTACATCTCCAATCCATGGCATCTCTCCCTTTCCTGACTTTCATCTTCCATCTGCTATGTTAACCCTCTCACACAGAAATGCACTGACCATTATAATCACCAGCAACTGCTCCTGCTGTAAACTGCTGGACACAAAAATATCTCCATCTGGTTACAAATTTCCATCCTCATTCTCTCGAAACTTAATTTTTTAATTTTCTAAAATTTTAACATTCTAAACCTAAATAAATGCTTGATGCTTTCACAACTCCATTTCATTGAGCTTCTCCTTATTCTTCTGTTTGATATGTCCTTCTGGTTTCAAAACTGTGCCAGTGGAAAGAAAGAGGTTGCTGACTAAGAACGATAAAAATAGCTCCTATGCTTCGGAGGGAGGAGAGGAACTAGTTAAGCCCTGAAGCAGGGCATTGATGGATTTGTCATCCTCGCCCATAATTCATGGTCTGAGTAAAACCTCTCTATATGTATGATACTGGTGCTGGATTGTAGCAAGTTTCTTCTTCAAGCTTGTACTGTAATCCATCCTGCCAATGTCTCAAACACATTCCTTTCCTAGCCTGTCCATCTAACACCCAGTTGCTATTTTAGTTGATAATTCATTCACAGCTGCTGTTTTCTGGAGCTGATGATTCTCAACTAAACGGAACCCATTTGTCTAGAGTCTGCTTACCACTCCACAGCCCACCCAGGGCACACCTAGACATGACTCACTGGCACAAAGTTACAAAAAGGCAGCCACCTAGCATCAGGTAAGGCCAACTTTGTAGTATGATTTATGCTGTAGACTTCCTCCATAGGATCAGACAACAGCCAATCTCCAGCCAAATGCAGATGGTTAACATTTTTCCTCATCCTATCCTGCGTCTCTGAAAGAAGCATCCCCTTCCCTCAAAAAAACTAAATTATTGTCTATGTCTCTGTCTAGAGTACCTGACCTAAGGCAAAAGTATTTTAATATCTACTCCAACACCCTCATAATTTTACTTTCCAAAAATTTTTTAATAATTCTTATATATCCTCCTTTAATTTTTAATCACTTTATCCTATTTGCAGTTAAATTGGAGCTCCTTAGAGTAAATAAACAAATTACATGTGAAATTGGTCTTTTTTATAGAGAGCAAGAAACATATCATCTTACATATCCTTCAATAGAGTTTATAGGTAAATGAGACATATCAAAAACATAGAAAATTAAAATAAAATGTGACATTAAGAATTTCTGGAATA